GTTTTTGCAATTTGCATATAGGCAAAAACGCATAAAAACCGATAATCATGCACCTGGATGTCCGTGCGGCTCTATAATGCACCGCCTTCATCCCAGCTGGTGCCCTTCCTCCTGTATGCCAGAAAAGATCAAAGTACGATCAATATTAGTCCAACTGTTGGGATACAACGTAGGGATCATTTCTGCTAATAACGATCTGTGAGTTTAGTGCAAAAACGCATGATCGCACCGGGGAGTCCGGTGCGTTCCAGCCTGGGTTTTTGTTTGTGAAATGTGTCCGTGACCTTTAGATGTCGTTTGGGTATCCATCCATGAAGGTGTCGCATTTGTGACAAGATGCTTCACACAGCGATACGGATGCGAGTGGATGCGGAAGTGCAGTAAAAGCAACGGTGATTGTTGTCTTTCACTTGGGAATCAAATCTAATGCCGTTAATTAATCCGTGAAAGGGAAGTGCCGACAAATGATGAATTGTATTGGGAAATGATGAAAGACGGAGAGGGAGGCCTGCATGAATGGATGGATGGACGGATGATTGGTGTCATTTGCATGGTTCCATCCATCTGTTGATCTTCAGAAAACCCATTGTTTTGTTGTATATTATTTCCAGTATCGCTTAAAAGAAAGGATCAGCCAATCCAAGCAGATCCAGATAAGGTCAAACAATCTGTTGCTACCATTATTTACCACTAAGTTCGACAAACAACTGCTTGCAGAAAACAGTGCATTCACAGGCCATTGTAAGAGCCACTTAAAAAATCGTTATCTCTTTTTCCTCCGCTTTCAGAAGGAAGAAAAAACAGTTTTATGGACTGAATGATCAACTTCAAAAAAATTACAGACCAGCCAGAACTTCTGGCAGCGGTGCCCTCAGTGTCAGGCCTTTGCAAAGGATGGAATTTGGAGCCGAACAGATCCACAGATTTTCAACTCCTCAACTAATTTGGTTACAAAAATGCCAATGTCACGTGTCTGTCTATTTGTGAGATACACCTGATCGTGAAGGCTGATTTCCTGTGCGCTCAGTCGATCGGTTAATTGAAACAGAACTGCTCTGGTCACCGGCACAGGGCAGAGATGCGTTGGTGAATTTATTTTTGTGGAATGACATGCGTTCCCTCACGGAAAAGAACTCCATGCTTATCGCTGGTCGACGATCAGATATAATAATTAGTTGCAAAGAATAACAATGCATATCCAATGACCTTGCGGTAGCAACAGGCAGCCTCCTAATGGTTGTCACTCATCCGTATAACTTCGTTTTTTGAATCTCAGTAGAGACAGCAAGAAGTAGCACTTATCACATCTGACCATCGGTTATTCGTTCAACCTTCCTTAATTTGTTTTTTTAGATAACACATGCATTTTTCTTCCCTTTTTCTCTGATGATAAATGAGTCAGCTTAGTTTTGCGATGGAGGAGCAAGCAGTGAAAGTGAAGAGCTGTGATGTAGTGCGTCAGTACTTCCAAAGAAG